GGCTTCCTCCTGGGTCAGCCAGGATGACCACGCAGCAGGGATAAAGCCAGGCAGGGCCCCGGGCACCCACCTTGATGATGCCCTGGCAGGTGGCAAGGGGCAGCCCCACCAGGCTGGTGCCATTGATGGACATGATCTGGTCCCCGATGCTCAGCTTCCCCGAGCGGGCAGCTGGGCCGCCGTTCATCATGTTGGCCAGGATCACGGTGGGCAGGATGGAGCCCCAGCCGGACTCCACCACCACCACTCCCAGGATCTCCCCCTTGTGCTTCTCCAGCTGCAGCTGGAAGGACATCAGGAAAGTAAGAGGTGCCCAAAAGGGGGACAGGGGCCAGGGCCTCAGTCAAGCACCCACAGAAGGACCAGCCTGACCCTGCCTTAGGAACTGAGGCTGGTCTTCCTCCTGGCCTCCAAGCCTACCTGGGACCTGTCCATCATCCTGGGAACTGAGAGCACAGTCTCCCACCCCTCCCCATGTGGCATCAACTCCCCCAGCTCTAAGCTGGGCTCCAGTGTGCCTGTCTGCTCCCCTCACCCTCCCCAAACCCATGGAGGCCAGAGGAATGTTCTCTGAGTCCGGACTCCAACCCTGCCGGGCCTTCTGCTCTCATTTAGGAAAGTCCTTCAATTTATCTCTGTCTCCAGGGTCACTGTTTGGAAGCTGTCTGTCATTCATTCAGCAACAAGCCAACTCACTTACCCCTCAAGGACTCAGGGTGCAGGCCACCCCCAGGGACTGGCTCCTCTGTCTCAGGAGAACTTTCTAAAGACCCCTGAGCAGTCCCACTGGAACCGCAAAGGCCTCCAGTACTGGGGGCTTTGAAACTTCCCTGGGCAGACTGCCCAAGGTCCCCATTTCAAAGATGCTTTCCAGAAGCATTTCGGGGCTGGGGCGGGGAGGGGCATTGAACATCCGTCTAATAGCAGCATTAAGAGGCGCATTCTCAAGGTCATTAGGACTGAGTGTAATCAGCTTCTTTGTTACAAGGACACCTCATTTCACACAGACATGCTCCCTGCAAAGGCAGGAGTGGAATGGACCCAGGGCCACACTTCAGGCTGTGAGAAGGAGGGACTGCACGTGGCTGTGGAGGCCCGCCCACCTGTCCCCTCCCGACTCCCCGCTCCCCCCATCGCACTCTCAAGCTGACTGGGGAGCCCCACCCTCACCTCCTTGCAGTTCTCCGAGTTGGAGAAGTGGATGAGGTCGTCGTTGTACATCTCCTGCGTGTTGATGATGTCACTGTACTCCTTCTGGCTCAGGTCCTCGGGATTGATGCCATTGGCCCGCAAGAACTCCTGGTAGGCCACACTGAAGGCCTGGCCAATGGACTGGGCGATCAGCTGGGCCTGCGGGGAGGGGCGCCCACTGGAGACGAGCCCGGCCCAGAGAGGAGGGGCCGCAGTGGGGCTGGGTGCCAATGCAGAGGCAGCCTGCACAGGGCCCTTCCCTGCCTGGGTGGCCGTGGCCCTGGTCTCGCGAGAGCTGTCTCCCACCCACATCCCACTATGGGCTCTCCCCCTTCTGCTGCCTGGGGGGCCTGGCGCCCCTGGCGGCCCTGACCTGAGCTGCTGTAAGTCCCAGACATTCTAAGACAGAGCACGGTTTCGAATAAAGTCTGGGGAAACTGAATTCTTCGCTAATGATCAGCTTCATTGCTTTCATAGGTGACTGTGTTGTATTTTCTTCCCACCCATCTTATTCCACAGACTTTAGGTGTGTTCTTTGGGGAGCATCGCACTTTGAGGTGCTCTCTGTCCACCCGATATTTATTTCTCCGAAGCAACAGGACTCAGTTCGACTGGGGAGGCAGGGGTGTGGCTGGCCTCTCTCCCAGGGAGGTGTGGCTTGGCTGAGCTCAGGCCGACAAGAAGCATGGGACCTTGGGGACACAGCACAGAGAAAATCATGGAGCAGATCACTTCCTTCTATTCAACGGGACCACTTCTATGGACTTCGTGGAGTCTCTGACACCACAGAGACCTGGACCCGGAGCAGTCACTGCAAGAGCTTACATGCCACCTGCTGGTGTGCAGATAAAGGCCAGTGGGAGGCGAAGGCCAGGGACCCAGCACCTGGGACACGTCAAGCACACACTGGCAGCTGGGCAGTGGGAGCAGTGGGGCCCTCAGTGACCCCTCTGCCCACGGCCAGGCCCCGCCCCCAGCCACAGGCTGCAGGAGCCCCAGGTCTGGTCTACTCCCTGCTGCCACCTCCCTCCCCACTGCCAAAAAGGGGACTCAGCATGGGCACCCCCAGCAAACCTCAGGTCCTGTTGACCCAAAAACAGGTGGAATTGAGGGATTTGGCCTAAATCCCATTCTATACATGCTGCACAATTCACAGGCTGCAAATGAGTAAGTCTTTGCCTCAAAGCAGGCTGGGCCAGGTAACAGAGGCAGAGCCCAGAGGGAGCCCTCCCTTAGGCAGGTGCTGACTCTAGGTGGGACAGGCCTCCCAAACTGAGCCCCCAATGGTCTGCGGACAGGAAGCCAGTGTTACCTCGCCAGGACCAGGACGGTGCCTGGGAGCAGCGTTCTGGCTGTTTGGCAGCTGGGCTCAGAGCTAGGACAAGCCGGAGGCGCGGAGCCCCTAGACCACCAGGTGGCGCTACTGGCCCAGATGTGTTGGAGCCCAGGCGATGGGAGCCCAGTAGGGGTGAGCCACGGAGACTGCCTGGCCTAGGCTCAAGCCAAGTTGGGAATCGGGGCTCCTAGGAGGAGGCTGGTCCCAGGATGGAGGGTGGATGGTGGAGGGTGAAGGCCTGGACCTGCCCTGCCCCACTGGGGTCTCACACCGGCTGCCCCCAGGCCTCCAGGTGGATCTCACCCTGACTGAGGTCCCCGGGCTGGGCAGGGTGGTGTAAGAGTATCGCTCTGTTCACCCCATCACTCCCTGAAGACCCTCCTTGAGCTCTGCCTGGATAGCCCCCACCACCTCATCCTGGGGGTAGTGAGGCCATCCACAGCAGGGCTTCTGGGAACCTCAGCATCTTACCAGCTGCTGGCTGCAATCTCCCATCCCCCCGTCCACCTTGAGTGCCTGCATCCCTCCCACCTGAGCTGGGGCAGCTCCAGAGGGCTCTCTGGGGGGCTGGGACTCCCCAGCTCTGCAGGTCACAGCCAGCTGTGAACCCAGAAAGATGGGGAGCGTGCACAGGGGCCTCACCCAGGGGCTGGCACTGGAGGCTAGCACTCAGAGCTGGCCTCCTGCAGGTAGGTGAAGGCAGGAAGGGGAGGTTGCCCTGCCCCCAGCACTTTTTAGTGGCTCATCAACACTGGCTTTCACTTTACATACAGACATTCCCCCCATGCTGGGTCTCTGAGACTTCAAGCCATTAGCCACACAAAAATGCCTATGCTGATGTCCACAGATATCTGCATAATGGTGAAAGGAACATGTGCATGCACTAGTGGGTCTCTATTTAAATTCCCTTCCCTATAAAGGTGTCATTGCTTCAAAGCCCTTGTAGTTGACTTCAATTTAGCAAAAAGATCACCACCCCCACCCACCAGCCCACTCAAAGGTGAAAACACTGGGACCCTTCCCCACTGTGCCAGGTCCCTGACACACCCTCGAGTCCCTTAGTGAAAGAGAACGCCCTTTCCAAGCATCCGTGGAGAGAGAATTTTAAAAAACTCTACTCTGGCAACAACCACAAGAAGGGCTCAGCCCTTGCCTCCCAGGGTTTCCCTAAGACCTGCAGGGGG